TGAGGGGCCTGGATGATACTGAACTGGGACGGCTCCACTCACTGGAGGTTTCAACAGCAGATCAAATCCACAGTGAGTCTTTGGTGGGCTTTTTCTGTCCCCAGTACCAAGTTTTCTGATCTCATTAGCCCGGGCAATTTCTTTAACAAACTGAGGGCCTCTGTTAAGGATCTAAGCACATGCCTCCCTCACTCCTAGGGAAACTGAAGGCCCTGGTCCCCCAGAGGGAGGTCACCGCTGCCTGACTCCGGCCCCACGAGCCTGCTGTGCACCGGCGCGGTACGGCCTCGCGCGAGCATGATTCCCTTTCCTGGCTCCATCTCCCAGAGAGCCTGCTGTGATCATCTCTGATCTGTAGATGAGGAAACTGAGGGCCCAGCATCTCCCGCTCCCTCCTCACCTCAGGATGTCTCCCGCTCTCCTGCAACAACCCACACGACATCCTGTAAATAACTGCATGTTCCCGACACCTCTCCTCCTTCTCCTTGGAAACCTGCTCTCTCTTTGGACTCCGGTTGTTAGATTCCCAGCGTGGCTCACTGCTGAGCGTGGAGGGAGCTACAGTGTTGCCTCTGAAAGCCTGGGACGGGCCCTGGCTCCTTCCTTCACCGGCTGGGTGACCTTGGGCAGGTTGCTCCACCTCTCTGAGCCTCAGTTTCCCCACCTGAAGCTGGGGCAGGGATGGTGACTAATGTCGTGATGGAGATTAAATGAGGACCTGTAAACAAGGGCCCATCTGAGTGTGGGACACGCTCAGGGTGCTTCATGAAAGTGAGTTTCCTCTTTTCTTTCTTCTTTCATCAGTTCTCCTCCTAGATGCTTTGGGGTTGGGGTGGGGGGAGGGGCAGTGTCCATACACTGGGACGCCTGCAGGGCCAGGCAGGTGACAGACAGGGGGCGCTGCTGGGCTCCTTGGGAATGGTCTGGAAAGAAGCCGGCCTCCTGATCAAACCCACACAGAGCCTTTCCCCTGGGGGGAGCTGGTCACTGGGAGGACGTGACCTGGCTGGTCCAGGGGTCTCTAATGCCCTCTCCTAAGAGCTCCCTTCAACTCAGCTGACCACACGTCCCCTAGATTGTAGGATCTACTTACTTAGATTTCCTGCCACCCCAAATTTGCAAATTTATGTCTAATTTCACCAAGTGGAAGGGCTAAGTCAAACGTGACCTTACACTGGCTTTCGGTGGATGTTTGGAAGGAAGCAGGAAGGGACTTTACCTGTGGGAAGGGAGGAATCAACATGACCCCTGAGGTTCGGAGTCTGTGGGATGATGGTACTAACAGACACTGAATTTGCTGAGCTACCGTGTGCCAGCTGCTGTTCTGTGAGATTTATACGTATGACCTTGTTCAAGCTGCACAGCCACCTTATGGGATGTTACCGTTATGCCCATCTCACAGATGAGGAAAGAGGCAGAGAGAGGACAGGAGATTTGTCAAGGTCACACAGCAAGAAGATGCCATTAAGGATTTGCATCCAGGCTGTCTGGTCCTGGAGTCTGCACTCATCCCTCTGCTCTTTTGACACCAGGATGTCTGCACAGGAGATGGGGCTCACTCCAGGGCTGGGTGCCGGCTGAGGAGACACTTAGGGATTATTCACACGGCCAGCGTGTCACTGACTGCTGCGGCTCAGTCGCCCCGTGTCTCTGTGTAGTTGCTACGGTAGACAGAAGCTGTCTTGTTTTGTCCTGTACAGCATCCGAGTATTCCTTTGAGGACCCACCACCCTTCCATTGTTCTCTGGCAGTGTGGTTTGAGTGGAGTCCTCCAGTCTTCTTTCCCTCAAGCTCTAGGGATTGGTACGTAACCCAGGCCTGGGATTTAGGGATGGATTTGCGACTCAAGACGGTCTGGGGACACTCAGTCCTGCAGCTTGTTTTGGAAATATTAAGAAAATGCTCCTTCCGTTGGAGTTACTGGGCTGAAAAAGAGTGAGCCTGGAGCTGCAGGGTCATGCTGCAGAAAGAGCTTGCCTAAGGGGGAAGCCAAGCCAGAGAAAAACAGAACTGATAGACAGAGAGAGAGAGAGAGAGAGAGAGGGAGAGACGGAGCCTCATGACTGAGTGCCTGATTCCTAGATCAAGCCCTTCCTGAAATCTGAAATCTGCCCTTGAATTTTTCAGTTACACAAACTCATACAGCCCTTTTTGGTCCTTAAGCCATTCTGATGAATTTTTCTATCACTTGCATCTAAAATAGGATTGACTGGCCCTGTGCCAACTACTCCATGTATGTCATTGCATCTAATCCATGAGGTAGCTGACATGGTGCCCATCATGCAGATGAGGGAACCGAGGCGCAAAGAGATTTATTATATTGGCTGAGGTGTTAGCTGGTACGTGGGATTAGACCTCAGGCATTTCGACTCTAACTGCACCCTGATCCCTCTGCCGTATGGTGGAAGACTGGTTTTTCCCCCTAAATATCTCCTGTAATCTCTGCTCCCCAGATCTCATCCAACTGCTCTCCCGGCTTCTTCTCTGATTCCCTTTAATCCCCACTTCCTCCGGGAAAGAAGCCTTCCCGGCTACACCCTCAGACTAAGCTCTGTTTCCTGGTGGGCATTTTTATGGCACGATGTACTTTTTCTTCTTAGCTCCACCGAACTTCAGTAATGATTTGTTCCTGGTTTATCTCCTCCACTGGGTGGGAGTCCCACGGGGGCAGCAATGACGTCTGCTTGGCCATTGCTGCAGCGCCGATGCCTGGCACGGTGCCTGGCCCGTGGTGAGCCCCTGGTGAATGTTTGCTGAAGACATGAATCGTGCAGTTTTTCACTCCCACTGTGACCAGGGATCGCTGTGCACCTGTTTGACTCCAGTGTTGTATCACTGCGACCCTGCAAAGTTTGCTTGTGCTCTGCTCTGCTGAGGGGCACCTGTGATCTCAGATGTTTATGTACCTTTGTGTACATACTAGACAGTGATTTCCTTGAATTCTGCAGTAGGGTCTCCAACCATCATCCCTTGAATAGTAGTAATAACAACAACAACAGCATAAGGAATAATAATGAGCACTTACTATCTGCTAGGCACAGCGCTGAGGTTCACACATGCATTGCCCCATTTCATCCTTACGTCGACTGTATGCGTGTGAACTGTTATGATCCCATTATACTTAAGGGCAGACTAAGGCTTAGAGAGGTTGTGTGGCCTCTTTTGCTTCTCCAGTTTGAGCTGAGGTTCTGTCTCACGCAGTCAAAAGAGAATTTGCTCTTGACTTTAACGGGGGAATGCGGGCTGGGTTGCAAGGCGGCAGGAGGAGCAGAGGCTGAAGAGGCACTAAGGTCGACCCAGCAGACAGAGGCCTGGCTGTGCTCTGCTGCAAGGAAAAGAGTCTTCACTGTGAAGGTCAGAGGAGCAGGGCTTGGTGGGAAGAGCTTAGCGATGTTGGAGAAAGGGCGCCAGGCATGACGCTGGAGAGCCTGGGTTCCTCCCCGCCGGCCCCAGCACCTCCTGGCTGCGTGGCCTGGGGCAAGGCACTGCCCCTTTCTGAGCCCACATTGCAGGGCTGATGCCAACCTTGACGTAACACCTGGAACTTGCCTAGCGAGGGCCTGACGTGGAGTAACAGGCACCGGGTATGGGGGTGCCAGCCACGCGCCGGGGCTGCTGTAAGTTCTTCATCTGTGTCAATTCAGTGACCCACCCACGAGCCCCGGGAAGTGTGCCCAGGGTGGCCTCGCTCTGCAGAGGAGGGGCCTGGGTGGGCAGGGCAGCCACGTGCTCGGGGTCACCCAGCACGTGTGATGCAGCTGGATCTGAGCTCTGGCCGTGTGGTCCCAGACACCACCCCGCTCTTCTCAAGAAGTTTGAGCTTAGGTGTCAGTGGGAGGTGGGAGTTGGGTCAGGTGGGTAGTTGTTTGCTTTGTAGCGTAGCCTCCTTTGGGTTCTGAGTTTCCGTTTTTGTGGTTTTACCCTCAAGATTCCAACTCCCCTTCTCCCTGGCGCATCTCAGGGGCAGTAGACAGACATCCGTCTGCAAAACTGCGGTGGCCTGTGCTGCTGCTGGGGCCCAGAGACAAGCAGGACCCCGTGCCCAGCCCACTCAGCAGGAGGAGGGGTGCTGGGCCCGGTTTCTCAGCGGTGCCACCAGTGACTTCCGGTGACACCACGTGGGGCTGGTGCCAGGTATAGCCCAGAGGTGAGGAGCCCGCCTGTGCCAGCCTTGCTCGCTGGAGTAGCACCTCCATGGGCTTGTCTCAGCTACATACCACCTCTGCTGTTTACGTAAAATCACCCTCTAATTCCACTCACTTGCAAACATAAAACCCTTCATTGCATTTATTTAAAAAGGAAACCTCATCTTGCCACTTCACAAGGGAATCCCAGTGTCACTGGCTGTAATGGAGGGTAAAGGTGCCCATGCACGTGATGGAAAGGAAATGCGTGCAGATGTCCAGCTCCGTCCAGCTCCGTGCTCTGGGGCTCTGGCGCTGCCCTGAGTCTGGGGCTTGAATCTCTCATCAATGAAAGGGAGGGAGCTACTGTTAGACACCCAGCCTGAGACTTACTCATAGACGCAACTGAAACATTGAAAGAGAACCGAAAAGGAGGAGTAAACTCCTCAGCGGACAACTTGCTCTTTTTTAATTCTTTTGGATTTTTTTGAAGTTTTAATTTTTATCTCAAAGATCATAAAACCAGTCAAGTTCATTTTGAACTTGTTTTCTAGGAAATAATAAAATTGAGAAAATATAGCATTCATTTATGAAAACTATGACAGATTTAAATGTACACAAAATTAGAGAGAACAGTATCATGAACTCCCATATGGCCATGATTTGCTCTTTAAGGTGGTACCCACCACACCACCTGCAGTCACCATGGGCCGCAGGCTTCCATGCCCAGGAAGATGCCAGCAGACACCTTAACTGCCCACACTGTCTTCTCTGGGGCCACTCTCACTTCCCCTCCATCCTCAGCTCCCCTTGGCCTCAGCGCCTCCAGACCAAGGATACAAAGACCTTGCAGCATGGTTGCAGGACGCAAGACCCCAGGTCATAATGGCTTTCTTTGTAGCCAAGTGGGAAGGCACTTTGTCTCTTTGACCCTCAGTGTCCCTATCTAGAAAATGGGGATAACATTTCCTATTTCTGGGGCTGTTTGGGAGATTAAAATGAGATGCTCTGTGTCAGGATGACTTTGCATTGTGCCCGGCACAATGAGCAGGGACGCAGCCAACATCCCTTCCTGCCCTTGGATCCGGATCCAATCAAAATTAGGAACTCTGCCTCAATTTTGCCTCAATTTCATTTCCTCTCTCGCAGGCTCTTTCTTTTCACCTAGAAACCCCGACAGCCTTGGACTCAGATCTTCTCTCCTTCATCCCCTCCAGGGTCAGATCGCCTCTCTGAGCCTCAGTTTGCTGGTCTTTAAAATGGCAACAGTAGCGGCCACCTCATCAAATTTCTGAATGGGCAAGAAAACACTGTCTCTGGTAAAGTTTTGTCCACGTGCAAAGATTGAGTTTTGTGACTTGTAACCCTCTGGGATGGGAGGGTTATTGGCGTGTTCCTGGGATTGAACTGCCCACACCCTCAGGGGAAATGATCTGAGTTGAGCTCACATGAAAGACTTCCTAAGTTCACCACAGGCTGTGAGCTGATGCCTCTGTTGAGGGGAATGTCGTGGGCTCCAGCTGAAGCGGCTTCTGTTTTTAGCTGGAACTGTTGCCTCTGAGTCCCCACCCCCCACCCCATGTGGAAAAAAGAAACGTGGGGCAGAAATAGCCCGTCCCAGGGGCTGCCCATGAGAAGGGCTTATT